TACCCATTTTACATCTGGGTGGAGTGAAGTAAGTCCAGAGACGACGCAACGTCTTGCCAGGTATGCCAGGATTCGAACGCATGACCTCTCGATCTACTGTCTGCTAGCCTAACCACTCGTAATTTGGCGCCACTAAGTTTTGCCGTGTTTACAGATAAGTATACACTGTGTCTTCATACATCACAAAACTTCTGTTGTAATAAGTCTCAGTTGGACTTGTTTACAACAACCGTGCTGTGAAAATGACAATGAAACTGGCTGTGAAAATGACACAGTGGACACATTTGATCAAATGAAAGATGCTCTTGTCTTATACGTTATTATTAATATGATAAATGGTACCATCATTGAAACATGATATCACATGATAAATGATACAATCGCAGTTTGGAAGACTGACAACGCTGTTGGGATCCAATAGTCTAGTCTAACAAGTTTGACTAACTTGTGACAAATGTTGGATTGTTGCATTTTAAATGATGATGAACAATGTAAAGAAGAATATAGTTTGTTAAAAGTAAAAACTTTGTTCCAACACATAGAGCTTTCAATATGTCACTCTGGTCGAAAGCTCTAGGTGGGGAACAAATCTTTGTTTTGGAACAAAAGTTTTAACTTGAAACATTTACCTACCAACACAGATGAACTTTCATGACAGAATAAAGTTTGTGTTACTTTCCCTCTGTAAGGAGGAAGACTGATGATGATGATAGAGTTTACTTACTTGACTAATGCCTTCTTTATTTGGCATTGCTTTTGAGGGAAGTTGTAGTATTTCTTCTACAAAGCCTTGGATTGCGCGGGTTGCCGTCATATTGTATTTTCGAACGAAGTCTATATAAGCCTCTCCAATGCCTCCTCAACGGTCTGCCTTTGAGCTGAAATGTTTGTCATTATAGAACTTAATCTATGTTAGTTTATATATTTTCTTTCTTTCTGTGGTGAGGCTAAATAATGTTAGCTAGAGTTGTCCATCACAGTGTCCTGTACATTTCCATGTTGGGCAATGAATAAATAAAACATAAGTCTGCTCTGTCTGGCAGTGGCTTGTGGACAGAGAACCTAGAGTTATCACCATCTTCCATCGGTGGCACCCTGTTCAGAAAATCAAACGGATTTTTCTAAAAAATATGATCATGCACATATACTAACCATTTCTGATCATATCGTTTATTGATATGATGATAATGATGGCGCGTAGCGATTTGTGTTGTTGTTGATGATGATGATTCACATATAAGAATATATGGTTTATTCGGAATAAAACCACTTACAGCCTATTGGTTGAACTGCAAGAGCAAGAAAATGAAAGTAAGCAAGAAAAAAAAACGAGGCGAGAGCAAGACACATGTGAGTCTTCGCGAATCCTGCTGATATAATTCTGTCTCGCGGGGCCTCAGGCTTGATTGAGAAGTGCGTCATACGCCTTGCGCCTGTGGCTAAGCACCTTCATGGCAATTAAAAGTGACACATGGCTTCTTTGAAGACTCGCAATGATGTCTTTCAAGTCTCCCTAAGTGGCACAGCGCCCTGAAGGCTATTCATTACAAAGGGAGTTTTTAACAGACGAGAGGCGCCCTTATGTAAATATCAAGCCTATTGTGAAGTTCTGCTTTGATATTTTCAACGTGCTTTCAGCATAATAAAAATGCTTTTACGCAGATCCTTTGGGGTTAAGCTTTCTTCTGCAACAAGCCCAACCTGATCTGGAAAGCCACTTGTCATGTAACTATGCATAAAGTGATTTTTTGAATGCACAAAACATGAGGGCAACTTCTCTCTCCCACTCAGGGGAATGCTCAGTAATTATAGGAACTAACCAGACATTATGTCGTCTCCTGTGCACATACATCAGACTATGTTTTTATATCTAGCGTCTGGGAGAAAATGCTTTCAAGAAGGTCAATGTGATATGGGAAAGGGGCAAACAAACGCAAACTCTTTTGGGGACAATTTCAGTCATTCAAATGTAGATAAGGTTCTTTTTGTAGATTTAACCCTTGTCCTGCTGGCACTTCTTTACAAGATATTTTTCAATAATTTCATTTCTTAATTAATATTAGGTTAAAATTAACTCATAAACAAACAGAACTGGACAGAGAACATTTAAGTACAGAGCAGCTTCAGCCTATAACTCGCTTAACACGGTAACTAAACAGGCATCAACAATAAATGTTTTTAAAGTAGCGCTAAGAACATACGACCTCTGACCCTGACCTGACGGACAACCGACTGTCATTATTTGACAATACGACTATGCTTAACAATTTTGACTATTTGTTTTGGTTGTTCCGTTGTGTTTGTATGATTGATTATTTGTACCCTCTGTTTATATTATTTATTGTCATTTGCCACGATTGATCATTTGATTAATCTGTTTTATTTTGTTTAATCTTATTGTATTCCATGTTGTCCAATGTGTATGTTCTGTTGGGCTACCTTGGAAATCAGTCTTTCAGAGACTGAAGGTACCACCCAACTGTTTTCAAGAGCAATAAATAAATAAATAAATTAGGTTATTAACCTTTTTTTCACTGGTTTGGCATAGTTGGATCCGCATTCTGTGCGTATAATGTGTTCTTGTATAATGTGTTCTTATGAGACATCATCCCCCTTCGCAAATATGAGCAAAGCATGACTTAATAAGAAGGTGTTCGTGGAAGATTTTGGTCGATAGAAGGATGAGCTTTGAGATTTGTTCTGTCATGTTTTTAACGACTGGAGAAACGTGTGCCAACTCACATGTCTGCGCTCATACATATACACTTATCTATCACTTTGGTATTGTTATAGATGAATGCGCTTTCCAGGAGAAAGTTTCATGTCATTTATTTCAATGAAAGTCAAAGTCAGTTACAGTGTGTTGATCAACCATGACAGGTAGACAGGCTATAATACAGAAAGAATCACCAAGACTATCTTAACAAATTAATAAACTCAACATAGCTGTAATCACAGATTATTTGATTGTTACTTACACGCGTCAATTACATAATGACAATCAACAATAACAAAGATGTCACATTTCCATTGACATTTATAGAGTTGCGCTTAAGCAAATTAGAATTTACAGACGTTAACTAGATACCTCATCAAATAGAGATGAAATATTTGTCAAGGCTAGATTGGATGCACATATATCCTATATATATATATATCAATAATAACGTTTGGAAAAAATACACAACAACATAATTTTTTTATATTACAACGCATGTATCGTTTTCATACATTTAGGTCGACGTCATTTTCATGTAGAGTCTCTTTTAGAGTTAATAATACATTTAGAACAAAGGAAACATAATTTACACAATATACAGTTCAAAATACAGTGTCGTGACTTATGATTAGTCACCTGTTAAATATTTATAAACTGACATTTTCTTGAATAAATATATCATCACATGGAATTTTCAACTTCAAATTCACATAATCTAATCTATGCTAAATGGCTTTAAAATATTAATGATATGCTCAACCACTGAAATATTGAAAAGCATTGTTTATTGTAAAGTGTGCAATGGAATTGGTTTTGAAATGGTTGCCGAAAATAGATCCAAATCCCTATTATTAATTTTTCATCAATTAGCGTTGTACATAGGATCGTAAAGTAGGGAATTGTAATTTAGTTTGTAGAAAGGGGCGTGGCCCTGCATCTGTTGTTACGTCACCCTGACGTCACAGCAATTTGAATAAATTATCATCTTGTAATACTAGTACATAACTGATAATGATGATATCCTTTTCCTATAATGTTTGATTTTTACAGAAAAATCGTGTTCATCTTTTCTCTATTTGGCCCCAAAATTTGGAATTACAGTGCTCACCAACTATTTGCATCACTGACATTGGCATAAACCTGGGATCTGCATAAAATTCTGAAAACCCAAACCATTTCCCATTCACTACATTATAAATTGCATGGCATAATTGCATGAGCTGTTATGACTTTAACCTGATATTGGACTAAAATATTTCCAAGTCAATGGCACACTGACCCAGAAATACGTGAAAGAAATACATGTAACTTGCGCATCAGCAAATCCGCATGAAGCCCATTGTTATTCATTCATTATCACCCCTGCACCCTCCATTGTCATACACTTTCTCTGTTGTCACTTCCTTCTGGACAGGTGAGAACCCCCAATCACTCATTGATGATTGTGTGAAGAAGTCCTTTCTTCCTTTTTGGTGTCCTTGATTGGACTGTTGTTCTACATTGTAGGTTTGGTAAGCTTTTGCCCAACATCAAGGTAGACAGAATGAATGTGGAATGTGTCTGATCTTCTAACTCCATGCTAGCCCTGTTCATTATATATGAGTTTCTGAATGCGACTTGAAGATTAGAATATGGTACATGTATGTAGTTGTGGGTAAAAGTGAGTATATAAATACCAATAACATCATGTTTGTGGTTGTTTCAATTGGCCCCAGCCCAGTATCATCAATAACCAACTGACCTCCCCCCTTTCGGTCGTGTGTACTCTCCTAAGGTTATTGGACTAACCCTGTTATAGGAATAAAATTCCCTGACAAATCACCCATGCAAATAACAGGAGAGCACTGTATTCTATGGATATCTCTTAACCATTGTCAAGTTTACAAAATATAAGTCAACTGGACTGCAGAAATATAATGACTCTCTTTAGCATGAGAAAGTTCTTTGATGTTGGCAGTTACATGTTTAAAGTTAAAATTTCACATCCAACATAATAAAAGTTCTCTCACCTAGAGCTTTTGACCAGTCACTCTGGTCTTCCTCAGTAGACTGACCCAGTGAGGCTTGCCACGTGGCTTCTTTGATGCTATTTACATCAGTGCCCATCACCCTCGACTCAACCGCGACGGGGGCCGACATCGTCTTCCAGATACCTTTGCCATGATACCTTTGAGTCAGAGTTGACGTCACACTCAAAAAAGCCACGTGACAAGCCTCATTGGATCAGTCTACTGAGGAAGACCAGAGTGACTGGTCGAAGGCTCTAGGCGAGGGAACTTTATTGTGTTGGATCTATTAGATTTATCTTTAAACACGAATCTCTTTACCATATGGCCGGGAAAGTTTTACACAGTGAAGGCTTGTCTGGCGTGGAAGGACCGTGAGGATTGGGAGACAGAGAAGACGTGCAGTGTCCGCCCGTCTCCCTCCCCCAGTCTCTGCTCATCGGTTTGCCGGGAAACCCCTCTGGTAGACGAGGCCTGCACGCGTCTGTGTCGCCACTGGGTCCACTTCAGCCGGCATTCCTTGGCCAGTTTCTTGATGTACTTACGTGCGTTGGCGTTCAGGGCCACGTACACAATAGTGTTGATTGAGCTGCACAAAGGAAAGGAACCAAATCTTGTATTCTTTTCATGCTCCATGTTGACGATGCAATATTCTGTAAACGTCTTTATTGGGTGCCCATCACCGTACAAAGATCTATGATTGCAAGTACGTACTCTATTTGACCTTCTGAAAACTGCATGAGATGATTTTGAATGTCTCCTCTTTGAAAAGATATGCAAAATGGATTCGTATTACAGCTACGCTAAAGCTATTTATAACCTTTGCGGAATCGAAGTAAGTTGCACCGATAATTCCTCCATCACGTCAAATCTATTGCATAGTCATCCATTTCAGACTAGATCATTTTTTTTGGCTTTTCAATTCAATTTTCACGCACGTAGGCGCTACAAGCCGGTCTACAAAATCGAAATCCGACAGGGTTTTTAAAATTTCGGTGTTAGGACGAGGCATGAAATTGGTTTGCCATTTCCCATAACCGTATCAGAGACTGTAATCCTACATTCTAAAAGAATGTTTTACCCGTTGGACATGGCCAAAGCCTCCACCACGTAGTGTAGGGTGATGTTGATCCCTGATGTAGCCAGGAGGTGCGGGTAGAAGTCACGCACCACGGAGTAGCCGTAATTTGGTCCCCAACACAGGACAAAGAGGACCAAGATCACGATGAGCAGCCGGACCTGTGAGGAAGATACATACATGCGTCATTGAAATACATTTACATTTGTACGTGTCATAATACACTAACGGCCATCGGTAACTGAGTAGTTTGGGGTCGTGAGTCATAATTTCAGTACAAGAAAGGCGTTGAAGCGAGGGGCTTTTACGAAGCTAGTACTGAAATACGACCACATTGCCATGGGTGCGCACTGTAATTAACGTGAAGGTACAGGACGTCAAAGGCTCTCTCATACATGGGTCGCCGGCTTCCCATCTGAAAGCCGAACCCAACAGGCAGAAATATTAATCATCCTCAAGTTACAAACGCACTGAACATGCAGTATTACGTGTCATAGGAAGAGAAGTGTGAAGGGCGGGTGTTATCGTTCTAGGCATAAGCATCGAATCAATTTCAGGGCGGATGTGAAGAAATCTGTCTGAAATTGAAATTTACTGCCATTTCTTAGCACATTCTTGTCATCATGTTATACCTGAAGCATTTGAAATACATTTACGTAAGTAAGGCGTCTCTTTACTTTGGGGGCGTACCGCCCATAAATAGCAGAAAACTTTCAAAGATTTTACTTTTTTGGTACCTAACAAAATTGCTAAAACCAGTTTCCGATACAAAACAGTCAACCGTTTTTCCATCATCGCCATCGCATTTTTCCTCACAGGGCCAATGGATACTGTCTGCCAATTTGATACTGTCTTTTGCGGTCACCAAAAGATCTGCTTGGAGACTATCACAGGTATCAGCATGCTATGGGATAGGGTTGATTCAACTTACTGCATTAAAATCGCACTGCATGCCTTTTAAAAACACAAAAAGCAGAGGTTTACTCAAATTTGCAGTATCTGGTGTTGTGTAAATTGCTTTAAGCCCTTTTATACTAGTAATTAGTATCTGCAATTTAAAAGTAGAAATTTCTTTAATGCAGATTCGTGTGTTAATATGTATGCTGGGGTTAGAACATTTCAAAGAACATTTCTCGGAAGTGCCTTCAAACCAGGTCGACGTGCAGAGTTGAGGGTGATATTAGGTGTCACGCAATCTAGCCGGCAGCACTCTGCGTGAAGCTCTGGTAATCTAAGAGCTATTCACGGCTACAGTGCTAATCAACACCGGCATAGGAGATGAGCCATTCCCCGGGCCACTCCTCGTGTGATGAAAGTGTTGTAGAGTTGATGAGAGGGCGCTGACCGAGCCATCCGATAGGCAAGGCATGTGACCCATACTTCAAGGTAAGTAAGTATAGAAATGTGACCGATTACTGAGCTGCTACCTCACTAGACGAAGCAATCATTTAAGGCCAGTTGATAATGCAAAATTGAATCAATGCTGAATCTTTTTAATGTGCGAATAAATAGAATCAAAAATCAAGACAGACACACACAGGCACACACATACAAAGTCACACACACTGACACACAAACACACACACATATACAGGCACACAAACTGACAGATACACATACACATACACACAAACACACGCTAACAGGTACACGCACACACACGCAAACATACACAACACACACATATATAGTCACACACACTGACAGACACACATACACGCACACACACGTGGTGATAGACACACACACACACACGCGTGGTGAGAGACACACAAACAAACAAACAAACAAAAGCCTTACATTCCGCTTCTTGGATCTCAACATGGCGGCCTGCTGGTCACGTGTCTGTTGGCCCGGCACGATACGGAACCAGATTCGGAGCGCGATTCGGATGTAGCAGAAGCACATGATGACCACCGGCAGGGCGAACTCAATCACCAGGAGGGTCAGGTAGTAGGCTTTGTACCTGTTAGTCAACACAACAGTATTATTATTAACATATTCAAGAAATCATCAACGGTGTACTACAACTGTATTTTATTTATATTCCATATTACACCTTAAGGCATACTTATAACAAGAGCCTCCAGACTAGCCGTTGGCCGCCAACTGTTCCTCCCCACGACACCCCAGATGGTAGAAGTAGATAGATATTAAAGTAAGTAAGATTACGCCTTACTTTTATTTTAGTGTTCAAAATTCTCCTAAGATATATTTTTTTGTGATAAGTGTCTGAAGCCTTATATCTGATAGAAGGCTTCAGCCCCTCAGCTGGTTTTCATTGTTTTCTAAAGATTACAAAAGATTCCTGCTTGAAGAACAGATACTGATACTGCAGAATTTCCTTAAACTTTGTACAAGAAAAAAGGGCATGACATGTTCTGATATATTTTAGCCACGCTATAGATGCTGTACCGCATAGACATCCAAAAACGTTTGAATTCATTATATGCCAGTTACATAAAAGAAGGCCTTACGTATCTTATAATACTGCCGATCGAAATCAAAAGCCCTACAAGGCAAGCCAATTTCATTTTGATTTTCTTTTTTTCTATTTGTGATGCAATTAACTAATACGCAACCTTGAAATATGCCCCGACGAAAGTGCGTTTGAATGCGTTTTCCAAAGATAAAAGCGTATCAAAAGAATTAAAGGCAATAACATTTTTATGGCTGTTAAGCAGAACAACATCTTTTTTTTCAATTGTAAGAAAGCATTAGCTTGCTAACTACGTCCGCTCTCATTGTCCAATTTCCGTGCTCCGGACGCACGCACTTTTGTTGTGGCGTCTTGAATAGGTTTTAATTTGTTAGTTTTTTCATCGCGACATCAATCATTGGTCACGTTGGAGCCAGGTGCCTTCTGCCTTTGAAACTCTGATTGCAAAGGTTTCCGGACGTGCTTACGCACGGGGCTAATTATTAGCCTTCAGGTCCCACAAGGCCCTTTGGTTTTGGATGCTCCCTCCGGCTGCTATAGGTTTTCAAGTACCGTTGAAGTGTTGAAGTACCGTCTTCATTATTACGCATGCCCTTTGTCTAACATAAAGTTTCAAAGGTTATCGGGATCCAGACGCACGTACGCATTTGACGTATTCCACGCTGAAGCAAACTTTCAAATTCCAATTTCAAAGGTCCTCTTATCTTTAGGTGCATGCAGCTGGCCCAAAATGAGGGCGGAAGATGTGCATATTCGTAAATTTCAAGGTCGACTAATAATTATAGGTCTCTAATATTGTTGTTCAAAAGAAAGATATATTGTTTCTACGTCTTCAAATGTAGGAAAGCCAAGAAAGGTTTGGCAAAAGATCTTTGACAAAGCGGCCAAGAACGCTACCAAGGCCATCAGACTATCGACCCGATCTAAAGGAGGGCCGGGATGCAAGAATCGTTTCACAGGAGCTATTGAAGCTCTCACAAACGGCAATTCAAATGTATGGCTAAATTAGGTTTGAATTGGCCTTGCTGGGACTAGATGTCTGTTACTTTGCAATTTCTCTTTCAGTGATTTTAATCATTGAAGGTAAGGCCCTCCACCATGGTGGTTACAACACACAGATACAGTAAGACTTCTGTCTATATTCCACGAACGGGGCCGTTTCAATAATTGGCATTTTTTCCATGAAGGATTGCTCAGTGCTGCAAATAGCTCCGCAGAATTCAGCGCCGACATAATGACAAGAGGAGACCCACTGGTCTATCATTTGCCAGTTTTGATAATTTCACAAATGCCGTGTGGTTAGATTGCACTCTTGTGTTGCAATGTCTATGCTTCAGCACTGCCGATTTTTCATCATCATTATCGTCGAGGCGCTACCTGCTGTCGTCAATGTGGGACACCACTGCTTTCTCGCTCCCTACCAAATTTTAATTTTAAAAGTTACATGTACTTAAACGAAGAAAAATTATAAAAATAAACGATTATGTTGCAAACCCAGACGTCATTACCGTTGAAACGAGCTATAGGTTTCATGGAAAGTGTGTTTGTTTCTTTCCTTTGTTTGCGTACGTGTGTGTGTTTGTGTGTGTGTTCGGGTGTGTGTGTGTGTGTGTTTGTGTGTTGTGTGTTGTGTGTGTGTTTGTGTGTGTGTGTGTGCGCGTGAATTTGCACATAATTCTAGTAGCCAAAAACGTGAGAGCCAAGGTAAGGAGGGATGTGCCTTACGCGGATTCCAGTTGTATTGGCCAGAGTTGTCCGCAGAAGGTTCCCCGATTGTCGGCGTATGGCAGAGCTTTGGAGTACATGGCAGCGGGCACGGCTAGCAGCATAGACACGGTCCACACCAGCGCCATGGTCCCGCCTGCCATCCCGCCCGTCATCCGCGGCACGTGTGGCATCATGATCACCAGGTATCTACAGACAACAGACATGACGTGTGGCATCATGATCACCAGGTATCTACAGACAACAGACATGACGTGTGGCATCATGATCACCAGGTACCTACAGACAACAGACATGTCGTGTGACATCACCAGGTACCTACAGACAACAAACATGACATGTGGCAAAATACCTAGCTCAGTAAACAACGTAAACATGATCCGCCATAGAAGTCATGGAGTGAGATATGGAGTGAGATATAAAAATATTTTGGTTTGAGAGATAGAGAGAGATAGAGACATAAAATATGTTGGTAAGAAAGAGAGAGAGAGAGAGAGAGAGAGAGAGAGAGAGATGTACAAGGAGACGGAGAGACAGAGACAGAGAGACAGACAGAGTGGGGAGAAGAGGAGAGAGAGAAGAATGGAAAGGAAAGATCAATGCGATATTTGCAATTCAGTCAAAAATGTCGGTAAAATTCTTAATTCAAATGACATGAAGTAAACATTTGCATTTAGCTATTGAACAGATGGGCCATTTGTATGCACGTGTTATTCCCGAAAGACACGTTCCGTCAATTTCCGGGTAGTTTGTGACAGAATAACAAGGACATTGGTTATGCCTCGGGACGCTACTGGGGACAATTATCGGTAAACGATGGCTAGAACCAACTTCCAGCGCTCCATGCTGCATCTCACAGGGAATAGCTTAATGTAAGATTGATCTATAATGTATAATGCATAATCTTATATCGTGTGCTAGATTCATTCAACAGAACTGTCTTCAAAATCGTGTGAAACCACGCTGGGCTCATTAGAAGGATATTTGAAACTACGGACGTCATGATATGTCAGTAACGATGGTGGGCATGTTTTAAACATAGCACAAGCTGCCAACAGCTTCTTCTGTTGGCTGATAATTGCAGGCGACTGCGAGGTTTTTTTTGGTCCATTCTGTTTCTAGAAGGTCTGCAAACATATAACGTCGTTAAAAATTCGCTATACGAGTACGACTGTTCACACGAGGATGTACTAACCCATGTTGTATATTCATTCTGACAGCTGTCAAATCCCAGACGCCGTTTTAATTTCTGTCTGAGCCATTGGAGTCAACACAACAACTGTCGATAGTAGTTATATTTTCGTTGTACATTTGTCTACAAGAGAAACAGTAGCTTTTCTGTATGCCATGATGCATACAACATCATGACGGATTATAATCACATAGATAAGTGCTTTGTGAAATTATTCGTTATCACAGATAATATGTTATCACTGGTTTGATAGACAACACTAGATAAATGACATCAGCCCCCTAGGCGGATCCATGTCATTAGCACAGATGTTGTGGAATACTAAGTACCTAATGACAGTTTGATGTTTTCTTTATTTGCCCGGAAGGATACCTCGGCCTTATATTTCTGAACTAATAGCAGTGCTAATTGTCCTGATAGCTGTTGGGTCCTGACTGCTTGCGCGGAATTGTTTATAAAACATAGACTATCAAATGTGATGTTGATGAAGGTTAGACATCCAGGAATACAATACGCATGGGAAATTCAAACTCTACTACCCGGTAAACAGTTTTTTTTAATTCTCCGTAATTTGCGCAGTAGGAAAGTTTCGATTTCAGAGTATAAAATGCGTTATCTGTTTTTGTAATTTTGGACTGAATAAATAGAAGAAAAAGGTTGTTTTTTGTAGCCTGTGTGAGGCTCTACATGTTAAAACAATTCATTTTACACACGAGTGTGTCGATTTTATAATGTAGATGAATACATATAACGTTAATCATATTTCTAAAGTCATGGTACAATGCGCTAACTACACAAGACATTGTGATTGTAAAAGGAAGTCGGGAAACAGTTTTGATAATACTTAATAGCCTCAAAGAAGAAGAAACGGGTGATGGGGGAAAACAAGTCCCAATCGCCGATCTGACCTAGTCTGGGTACCATCCTATTTGTATGCCGGGGCTCCCATACTCGCTCCCTAAGAAATATTACATAGAAAGAGAGTATGGGAGCTCCGGCATACAAATAGGATAGCACCCAGGCAAGATCTGACCTTATTTCAGAAAATTGATTGATTTTCCCCAGTCCGCTCAGCCAGAGAAAACAACAGGCGTCGGCGTATTTATCTGTGATAGCCTCAACCGTATCACAGGGAGGCGTCAGACAAGTGCTTACTGCTGGTCCCGCTGGAATTAGGTGAATTTATTTCCCAATCCATCACTTTTGGGCCCAAACAATACGCTTAAGCGCCACGACGTGACTGGTGGTACTGAAATCTCACCAGAGGTGAAACAATTTAGATGTAGTGTTTGGTTACATCATGTTTGTATTTTGGGTTCGTGACTGCGCAAACCGGCTGGTAACTTGATTATCGGGCGTCCGTAGTTCATAGAAAGGGTAAAAATGAATAAGAATGCACTTATTACAGTACTATTACATGATAAGAATATGTGTCCAGACTTAGGGCTGGGAAGAGATTTGCGTGAATCTAAGCATATATTTTACTATATGTCGTCGCCGACGTGCTTCGGTCTTGTCAGACTGTACATATGGAGCTGTGCCCAGAAAGGCTTTTCTTCAAAAGTAGGAGTACGCGAACCAAAGCTTTAACAGCTTGATATAAGATCATAAAAACAGCCGATTCAACTGGTACTTAAAGGTGATAGAAATGTACAAATGATAAATAGAATGACCTGTAGAGGGCCCTAGGGGAGGTCGATATATCGATGAACAAAAGATTATGACCATGTGACAACCTCGAGCTCCTTCGATCAATAGACTGTCGCACGAGCTGATGAGTGCTTGTCAGTTTATGTGTTGCTGGAGAGAGACGTGACCAGTTGATCCCCTGTTGCTTCTCTATCGTGATGATTATAATGTTAATAATGATATTGCTAATGAAACAAGTAACGCTCGTAGTCCAGCGGTTAGCGACCCTGCCTCTGGACTACTAAGAGTTCGAATCAAGGCTGTTGTCGCTCACCCGAGGTACACGCTATTGTAAAGGAGTACAGTAACAGTACCATAGCATGGTACGTTTAACAGTGGCCCATTGTTCATTGTACTTGTCGTAAAAAGCTAGAGGCATTTCCCCGGCACAATAAAACTGTAAATACAATACACGGCTTTGTTATGACCAGTGGGACATTAACTTTTGTGTGAGCAAACATTGAACCGAGATCACTCTCCTTTCCTAAGAAATAAGATAACTTGAAGTACCTGTCAATGGCGATGACCAGGAGTGAGTTGGTGGACACGTAGAGCGAGGTGATCCGGAGATAGTTGACGAAGCAGCAGGTCGTGTCGTCGTACGACCAGATCCTCTCGGGCCTGACGATGTGGTAGTCTAGGATGAACGGCACGCAGAACACCGCCACGAGGAAGTCAGACAGGACCAGGTTGGCCACCAGAGCGTTCGTGATGGTCCGCATCTCCTTGTACCTCAGCACTACGATCATGTAGAGGAGGTTGCCGGCCCCACACACCACAATCATGATGCTGTAGACGATGCCGAGGAAGATGGTCGCCCAGAGGTACTGCCCGGCACCGGGGGAGCTGGGGCCGAACTTGTGGATGCCGACCTTCTCCATGTACTGCCGTAAGATGTCCTGGTAATCTTCGAACGACAGCGGCGGCAACGTGCCACTGAAGTCGACGTCGTCTATAGAACTGTTTGATGAGTCGTTCGACTCCATCTTGAAGCTATAATACACACAGAAAATAAATCTGTGGTCACTTTTCTTTTACGTTTGATACGTGCTAAGGGTTCTGCGTGATAAAATGTGACAAAAACATAAACACTATTTAATATTCAACCGTACTCACGTCAGAAACCACGATAAACCATGCTCTGTTACATCATATCTGAATTCGTGACTGCACAAATTTAAAACCGGATGATAATTTGATAATCGGGCGTCGGTAGTTCATAGAAAGAATGTAAATGAATACATTTCAACCAGCGACTGGCAATAAGGATATACATATATAACATGATAAGAATTTGCTGAAAAATCATTGGACATTTTTTTGTGATAATGATAAAGTTGATGTGCTGTACCATATGAGCTTGGTAAACAAAACATTTGGTTTATATATATCCGTACATGTATTTTGCATGCGGTAAAATATGTAAAGATCTGTATTTAAACATACAAAGTAACGCTTTTAATACTATACAGCTGACACTTACCAGTCCTGTAGAAATCACCCTCCTGGCCGTCCGTCTAGCGCCACGTCAGATAGAGAGCGTCTGGTAATGGGTCCTCTTCCCGGTCCTTGGAAGAAGGGACCATGCATTAATGTTTTATTATAGTCATTATAGATTACCGATTTTCTAAAGTGAGGACTCTTTCAGAAAACCAGGCCCAGTCAGATACTAGATATAGACGCAGCGATGGTCAACCGTTAATGCTCACAGAGATAACGTTGGTCTGCTTTCATAGCGAAATGCATTGTAAACACACAAGTAATCATTGCGCAGATAGCCATAAGATATACAATTGCAAAAATGTATCTTTACCTGATGTTCGCATCTAAACGTTTAGAAGAAGGAGATCCAGTTGGCCCAGGCCTGCTGCTGGCTGTTGAAGATGACACTGCTGAGTCAAACCAAACGATACGAGGAGCCAAGCTGTACACAGGACGCCGGGGAAAGCATATTCATATGCTGTTTAGGGTGTACGAGCAAAGGCAAAACCATCCAGCCAATCACAGCAGGCTTTTGTGGCGCTCTAGGTTGTGGACAGATAAATCACTGTCATCTGACCAATCACAACGGCCGTCTGAGTGTTGCCGGGGCAACGGAAATTTAGGGGCGTTAGACGTGAAAATGCGAGGTACGGTCGTCTCATGAGCATCGTTAAGAACAAGACAGGCATCTGATGAAAAGTGACGCATTCACAGTGACAAGATGGAGAAAATCCCATCGCGCTGAAGAGGTGCGTGGGTATCGGCCTGGCGCTTCAGGAAGCTACGGACGTCATCAACCTGGCCAACGGCCTTAGTTCCAAGGAAGTAAACTTCAAAGCAACAGCTTGACAACATCTGGATAACAATTTAGAAAACTAGACGGTGTCCAACGTAAGCTAACACCTCTATAGAAGCTTAGAGAAACTGTTTTTATATTGTCAAGATTAAAATTGCAATTCTATGCCCACTTAAACCCCAACACACTCCATGTCAATTCAAATCACCAGAGACTGAAAGTACAGTTTTCAATGACCGTAGATAGTTTGAAAGCACCGTACGTACTTGTACTTGCATTGACGCTTTAGTGCCCATTGAGTCTACACGTGGACTGCCCTTAAGTCATCGATTCCCAGCTAGTTGAAGAAACCGGTTACAGAGAAATGTGGTTAAAAATCCAAACATAACTGTCGAACCAACTCTTTCATGTCCTCCTACCCTCGATGTGCACTCTACAGGCCGAGAAATTCTTGGAAATGAAGTGATGCGGAAAGTCACTCTCTATTCCATTAGATTTTAGTCTATTCCATTAGCCGAAGTCATGTTTCTACGAGGCGTCATTCTGAACTGCAAAAATATGGCAAGTTTCAGGAAAGCAAAGATTAGACCAAGGGTTAGCAACTACAAGTGCTGAAAGAAGACACTTCGATGTTATTGACTTACTTTATCCTTCCACTTCTACCGTCTGGGGCGTCGTGGGGGATGTTATTACACAGAAGAAAAGATGACAAAGCTATAAAAATAGTACAAATCGAGATATTAGACGACAACCTGAATTTTACACATACAAAATACAATCATTAATGCATGTAAAACAAGAATTAGAAGCAGGCACAATTATTCTATTTTCATATCAAGTAGGAGTCAAATAGCCAGGATGCAAGGCCTGTTAACTTGAGAGCGATCTGTCGGCTGCTTGTCTAACAGGCATCCAGGCTTAGAGGCAAAGGAAGTCAAAATAACTTACTTACTAGGCTGTTTATTAGCTTATCGTTCTTTTGTACAGATGTGCGTCAGGTTAATAAAATATACTTGCTTTGAATAGAGTTAAAATCAAAGAGCACATGGCACACACATGAATATGTCTCCTAGATGATTTTTTCACACTCTTTTAAAAAAACAGATCTACAGTTTTAAGTTTCATCTTTTAGGAGCAAGGGAGCATAAGTACGGACATTTAAAAACTGAGCAACTTTTATCTACCAGGTGAAGTAACTAACATTGGAAGTGATAAACAACGGTAACGAAGGTTACATTCATTAGCGTGCAAAATTTTGTTCAGCAGGGGTGGCTACAAACAACAGCAAACACTCATTTCTTCTTTGTCTTATATTTAGCTTTTTCTAAACTTCACGACCGTCTTATATAGCTTACTTGAGAGGTAACGGGGGTTACAGAACTTTGCGACAGGTATGAACTACCTCGCACGACGTACAAGAATGGTGATAGGAGCGATCTGACTTGATCAGTCAGAGGGCCTGGTTATCCGGCTTCAACAGCCACCAAACTATTGTCGTAATTGAATTGCTACGTTTTAGGCTGCTTTTCAAATTTTTCATGTCTTCTCAGGCGACAGCCGCTTTTTAGAGGGTACCCGCGGTCATAATTTCTTCCAAGTCATCAATCAAACCTAATGTTGCGATACACGATACATTTTTCGTGAAACATAGTGTATTGGGGAAGTGAAGAAAGCAATGATGAGGTCCGTGACTTGGCTCATATCTAGTCTTCAAGAGTGGCGACAGTATTTTGTACATTTGATTAAGAATGAGTGTATAGCCTACCCGGGGGAAAGCCGGTGTCAGATGTAAGTAAGTGAGTATGAAATGATATATCGCAGGAGACTCGAGTAGACGGAGGTCGTTAACTCGGGAGGGAGCTTGAGATGGAAGGACGCCTACCTACCTAATGAAGGAGAGAAAATTCTTTATTTTATCTTTCTTACTCAGTTCGCCGCTTGCACTAACAGACTCTCTAAAGAACCCAGAGTGAGGAGTCCATATTTGTCAAACTGTTTGTTCAAAGGGCTTCTCAAAATACTGTTTGGTTCTTCTTTCTGTCATCGTGTGGAAGGCAGGATTAACGGACAAGCAGAGAGGCAATAAGCTTTGTGCTGGTAAGCATGAACGTCTGTTGGCAGTGACCCAACGTAATGTATTTGGGGGGTGGGTGTGGGAGTAGAATTTTAAACACCAAGTTCTTAGTTTATACACAAGTTCTCCTCTGGTCTCTCAGTCACCGACGAAAGCTAGTGGATACTAGCTGAAACGTCTGACTGTTTCCAAAATCATATCCAGTTGCTTGAGTAACTACTTTTTGGCGTATCTTATTACCTGGATGTCTAACCTTCATTGTTTTATTACTTATCAGGGACACGTGTCGCAATAAAAGTGAAAACATTTATATTTGCTATTGTTATTTTAAATTTCTTGCGATAATTTCTCTACGTATTCCTCAATGATCATCATTCGATATGAAAGTAAGCGAAGTTTTTATGAAATCACACGAAATCCATGTGTGTACGTCTGATGGTTTTGTCCTGACTTGATTATAAGAAAATTTGATTATCTTGCTTCCCTGCATCAGCTGTTGTTTCTATGAACGTGTAAATAGATTACATTCACCTACTACGATCGCAAGCAGGCGGATGGTAACATGTTGTTGTTTTTTTCTTAATCTATACGCCCACCCACCCACTCCTCAAACATAATTAGAAAAGGATCCGGTTCCCAGAAGCAGATTGAAACTACTTGAAGAAATGGAAATCGACACGTGGCTCCGCAAACCGTTCTAAATACGGAACAAAGAAAATAAAAAGGAAAACACTGAACAAGATTTGAAGAAGACTCTCTTGCTTATTTTATTTTTTTTTTATTACGATTTACCACATTTGTGAAAGGATTGACATAACAGGTGAAGGTCTGGGAAGGTCTGGGAAGGTCTCCTGCTCTTTTCAATAAGTGCGGTGGGTTCTTTAACGTGCGTGGGGTGTGGCTCTCCCAAACACGGGACCTCCATTTAACGTCCTATCCGAGGGACGTCCCTAGCCGAAGCTAGGTACTCATTTACACTTGAGTGAAGTGAGAAAAGTCGTGTAAAGTGCCTTTCCCAAGGGCACAAAATCGATGACATGGGCAGGGTTCGAACCCACGACCTCTCGGGTGTGAGCCGAACGCGCTACCGACTGCGCCACACGACCCCACTAGCTTAGGAGATTCATTAATTAACATTGCCAAAAACATGTACACTATTGAGGCCTCAGCGTTGTGTTGCAGTTTTCTGGTTCAAACGTTTTCGTATCTGTTGGTTTTAAAAGCTTGTCAGGTTTAAGTATCTGTGTTTTATTGAACCTTACAAACGCTAAAATGCTATTCTCCAAGCAGAGGCTTGGGTTTTGACTTATTTTTGGTGTGTTTTAAGGCTTTTTATTGGGCTTTCCTTTTTGCACTGGTAGTTTTTATGCCAACCCCAAAAATTATGCAAAAAAGAAAGCACAATAAAATAAAAACATACAAACACGCCAAGAAAAGGAAAAACCCAAAGCTCTGCATGAAGAGTAGACAAAGGCAGGCTGAGTCCTCCCAGGGTGTACACAGACTAATGAGAACCCACCATGATGAATCGGCCTGTAGATGTGGGGGCGAAGTTCCAATCAGTCGGTCGATAGTACACGTACTTTCCAGAACTACACATATATCTTAGAAGTGTAAAAACAATTAACCACATGAAATAGTTGATGCTGTACAATTAAATCTCTTATTACTAAAAAACATTAGATTCCATTTAGAAGTGCCAATTCTTTGGACGAAAAGTATTGACTAAAGGTGTAAAAGATCGGCATGGTTACGAATATAAAAAGATATTAAAGATATATATTCTTATATATATCCATTGAATCCGCGATGTGTTGACAGCTACATCTTTGAAAATATATCTCTTTTGGCTTTGAGCTAAAGAATTGATTAATTCTCACTCCTATCGTTTCATAGCAGGCTTCTGGTGCCCCGCTTTTTTATTTGCCGTATGCACATCAAATGCAAGCTCCGCAGGCATCGTGGGTTTCTAGATGAAAGGGCAACCATCAGACGACCCCGCCGATCAATAGACAGTGTGTAATTGGTAAAAACCAACAGCACGTATCGCTCCTGCGGTTTACCGCCGCAAATTAGACAGACGTCTCCATTTGACATGCATATCTAAGGGCAGATCCACGATTATGGGTAGGCCAAGGTTGAAAACTGTCATCTACAGGCAACATTGCCATCCTTCAGTCGATTTTACATCTAGACTGCTCAATTGGCTTTATAGAAAAAAACCCAGAAACCATTTATAACTCCCAACCTGTCCTTAGGCCGCTGCATCTGCAATCTTTATCTATTTGGGAAATGTAAGTTACATAATGTTGCAATTTTATAGTAGGAGGGATTATCTCCTTGTTATATTTACCGAAGGAAAACATATTATTTTTGTTACGTTTCCTCCACTTCTCCAAACGCTGACCAATGACCTGATTTGTTGATGCCTCTCATCATGGTAACTGGTGTTGGCTTACATAATGTTGCAATTTTATAGTAGGAGGGATTTATACTCCTGTCACCATATAT